GTTATATGTTTTCAACAAACGACATCTCCTACTATTAAATTATGAGGACATCAACATTGCGGAGACTGGTCCTGAGTTTTAATATGTTATTTAGTTGGATCAAATTGAACAAGATTTATACGTGTATTATGCATTGTATCACTATTTTTCTATTCTTTAGACCTATATTAGATTATTATTGCCACTTAATTAGACTCCGTTTTTTTTTTATTGCCAGTTTCCTTTATCTCTTCTATGAATTGGAGTGGTAATCATAATAATAGTTTTAAGTTCAGCTAAAACGCTTGTTTGATTTATTCCATCCTTCTAGGTATCATCTGGCTTCCTAAAAAGGTTTTTGTATACGTTACGTGATATTTATCTCCGTTCATTTTTTTCAGCTCCAACAGTTTTATTTTTTATGAATTATTTTAGGGAAATGTTAGAATCATGTAACAGGAACCAAAACCACTTTCCTGTACAAACAACTTTTGGTGGGATCCACGAATTAAAAAAAGAAGAAGAAAGAAGTGCTATTATCGATAAAAAACTGTGAGTGCAGGAACATTTTGGTTGCTTCATGTTACATAACTCTCACATTTCCCATTATTTTAACACTTCCACCTTTTCCTTTCCAAACTGGTGTATTGAATTGGAGTTCATCACTAATTGAAATCATTTCCCTTTATTTTTTACATTCATGTTTAAGGTATATATATTTTACGCGACAAGATGTAAAAAATCACTTTAACCCCTCACGAAAGAAATTTTTAGGCTTGAAATGTGTATATTGCATGAACCAATTTTCTTGTCTACCTTGTGCGTGCTGGACAGTAAGAATCAAACTCGTGACCACTTGGTCATTCCGACTTTGATATCATATAAAGAACCAATTCAACCCAAAATCTTAATTCATTGGTGAGACTATATTAATAATTTTATATCTCTCTATATTATTATTATTATAATTGATCCATTTCCACATTGCTTAATTATGAAATATTTTAATATGTAACAAACTCATTAGTTCTTAGAGTTGGAAAATTGAATATAGGCTTGGCTCCAAAATATCTAATGTTTGTATTAGATTTTGATAATGTTATGTCTTAGAGTTTGTATCAGATTTTGATAAGGTTATGTCTTAAAGTTTGTATTAAGTTATGTGTTTAATTTCTTTTTGTATAAAAAAAATTGAAAAATTGAATACAGGCTCTAAAACGTCTAAATTAGATTTTGATAACGCAGAAGAAAATTAAAAAAAGTGGGAATTACGTAGTGTTGCTTGTTTTTATATAAGAGGAAGTCAACTTCAAATAAGAGAGAAAAGATTAAGCGAATACGATTTATACATTATCTTATTGGAAAAAAAAAAAAAAAAAAAGTACAACGCAAATCCCATGCCACATAGAAGTTCCAAAAAAGGGTTCACCAAAAAAAGAAAAGGTTCCAAAAAAGGAAAATTATGTAAAATATCTAATGTTTGTATTAGATTTTGATAATGTTATGTCTTAGAGTTTGTATCAGATTTTGATAAGGTTATGTCTTAAAGTTTGTATTAAGTTATGTGTTTAATTTCTTTTTGTATAAAAAAAATTGAAAAATTGAATACAGGCTCCAAAACGTCTAAATTAGATTTTGATAACGCAGAAGAAAATTAAAAAAAGTGGGAATTACGTAGTGTTGCTTGTTTTTATATAAGAGGAAGTCAACTTCAAATAAGAGAGAAAAGATTAAGCGAATACGATTTATACATTATCTTATTGGAAAAAAGAAAAAAAAAAAAGTACAACGCAAATCCCATGCCACATAGAAGTTCCAAAAAAGGGTTCACCAAAAAAAGAAAAGGTTCCAAAAAAGGAAAATTATGTAAAACAATGTGCGGCAGGACAATCAAGACTCTTTCTGTCTTCATTTTTCTTTTATTTTCATTTCGCCCATTTATTTTTCTTTTAGGGGCGTTTGGTACACCAATTTTTTTCGGATTCTCGGAAAATTGAAATTTTGAAAATTTGAAATTTTTAAATATTATCGTAAACTGAATGTAAAAATTATATTTTTGAAAATCGAGATTCCCAGATAAATAAAAATTCTCATGTACCAAACGCTCAATTAATGTAAGTAATGGTTTCTCAAAGTATCTGATCCTGACTCACATCATGTATTATCACGTGGTTGTTGACAAATCGTACCGTATTTTTTTTTATTTCGGCATATAAAAAAATAAAGTAACACGCCTGTAAGCAAGTTATGCGTGTCGGTGTCAGCTTGTCTGAATGGATTAAAAATAAAGTGGTGTAGAATTTAAAATGACAAGAAATATGAAAGTAAGTGTAGTTTATTTATATTTTATCTCTTAAACTTTAACGAATATTTTCTAAAGTATGAAAGTGAGTTGAAAGATGTTTTTTATTCTCTACAAAATAATAATGAAAGGATATAATTGAGCCAAAATGTTGGAAATGATTATTACATTTTTAGTTTCAGTACATCGTTGAAAAGAAATTGTTTTGGTAAAATTTATTTTTTAAAACTCTTAACTTATAGGGAAAAAAAGAAGCCATTCTTTAATTACGACTTTACAAAAAATAAATATATGTTTGAATTACATCATGTTCAAACTAAAATATTTGGCAATTTTTGGATAGATGAGTGAAACGGTGTTTTGGTTCATGCATTACGATCAAGTCTCGAGCTGATCCCAAAAGAATATGATCCAAAACCCACACACACAAAAACAAAAAAAACAAAAAGTTTCAGCTTCTATGCCAAATTACCATTGAATAGGTGAGTGAGATAAACTGTACTTGAATAAAAATATTAAACCACATTCCTCTCCCAATTTTATGCTTGTTTCTCTTTTGTCACTTTCCTTCTTTTATTGTCTGGGAAAAATGTTTCAAAGCCTTCCTGAATTTCCTTTTCGCGTCTTCCTCCTAAAATACTTTTTAAACTTTGCTTCTCTCTATTAATAGCTAAGTATGATTCCTACTCCCTCACAAACTCTATCCCTTTTGAATCATTAACTTCTTATCTTCGTAATCCCTTTAGGTAAGTTTTATTCTCTTTCCCCATCAAACACGTAGATCAAATGATAAGGACGTGTTTCAATTTTATTAATGATCTCCAACTTGAGTCCTAAGAACGCAGATATGTTAAAATTTGATAAAGAATTTTGCCTCTTATTTTGACATACTAGACTTAAATTATCAAATCACCGAGAACTGATGAATAATATGAAAAAAAGAAACTTATTAACTTCTCAATTTTGAGTAACTATATCAACCTCTCTTTTGTCAATTATAATTTTTTTTGTTGTTTTCCTTTTCATTTTTAAATACATAGATTAAATTAGAGTGATCACTACATGTGTGTATAATATTTAGATAGTGAAATACGCAAACCAATAAAAAACGGACTGAAAAATAAAAAATCAAATAAGACAAAAAAATGAAAAAAAATTTAAATTGCATACATATTCGAATCCAAATATGAAATTCGATCTAATCATAATGTACCATTATTTTATATATATTTTAAAAAATATTTTATCTAAAAATTTTATATTATTCCTGCTTATTAAAATTTTAGTAGCTTTTATATTTTAAATAATTTAAATTTATTAAATTTTAATAAAATAATTTATACTTGTATTTGATATATTTTAATAAAATTACTTTTGATAAAAAAAAATTATAGAAAAAATGAAATGAATCGATTGTATATACCAAAAATTACATATTTACTTAAAAAAACACATATTTTTAATCATCTCAATTATAATATATAAAAAGACGCAATTTATATTATAATTCACACGAGCACCACGCGATGCTCTTTCCCAAAGCTTCATTCAAACATCAAAGCTTACAAGAAAAGCTTTTAAACAAATCATAAAATCATAAAATAAATAAACGGAAGCGTTGCATGTCACTCAAACCCAAAATAAGTAAACAAAATAAAAAAAGTCCAGCATAGTTGGTAGATAGTTAGGCTTATTAAGTATATTGATAGGGGTTCGATCCCTGACCATATGGAAAAAAATTTGTTGAGAGATATTTACCGATGTGATCCCCCGCCTCAAAAGGTTAGTCTTCGGTTGTTGATTGGAGATACTTTGAAAAACCCAAAAAAAAAAAAAAAAAAAAAATAAACAGAGAGAGGTGGGGACACGTCTGAGAAAAATATCACTGCACGTGGTTCTTTTTATTAAAAAGAAAGAAAAAGATTTAAACTTTAAAGAAAAATATAAAAAAATAGGTAAAAAGAAAAGAAAAAAACTCAAACCTAAAATAAGAAAACAAAGAGAGGTGGGGACTCGTCCAACTTGAGAAAAATATCAGTCTTCGGTGGTTCCTTTTATTAATAGATAATTATTTATTTATTTATTTTACCTATTTTTTTTTATATTTTACTTTAAATTCTATTTTTTCTTTTTAATAAAAAAATCTATTGAATTCGTTGGTCCTGATACACTAAAAATTTCTCGTCCAACTTAACATTGCAAGTTTGAAACTTTTTTCTTGGATGAGAAACGGGAATCGGATAGAGAAATAGAGTTAGGTAACAAAGTTATTTTATTTTTTTATATAGTAGTGAGAATTAAACACACAATTTAATATAAATTATTTAAACTTCTTACCACTAGATTAATTCCAGTGGCTTAACAAAATTATTTTATTTATTGAATGTAGACAGAAATAGATTGGATTAGGTAACCTACTATGCCTAATTTACTTATCTGATTAGTTACCATCTTCAATTAGCAAGTTAGTTTATTTCCTCCAACTTTTTTTTTTTTTTTGCTTTACTGAATCTGAAAATGTAGCATAATCACCGTTGCGAGGCGAGATCTTTTTCAAAATGTTTTTTTTTTAAATGAACTTTTTTTTTACACTGGTCATAATAAACTAGGTCATGTTTTAAAGCCCATTCTATGCGGAAGCCCATGTTTCGAGGCCCAACACAGCCCAAACAGTAATAAAAACCAAAATAACAATCTGAGCCCGTCCAATTTAGGTATTGTATGAATCGCAGGCTCCTTTAAAACCCAGCGTTAACCCTAACCCTAGTCTCTACCATCATTTGCAGCTGCTCTCTGCGTGTGGACACTACTCAGGTAGCTCTCGCCTCTCTTCTTCTTCTTCTTAGATTATCCATCACAATTCTGCGTGCTTTTCTCCTTCGACATCTTCATTTTGCCAAATATTTTTTCCTGTTAAGTTTCTGACACTCTAGTTTTTCATTCTTGTTTTAACTTCCTTTTTTTTTTTTTTTTGCTTTTGAAAATAAACGTTCTCTTGTGTCCGTTCATTGTTTTCTGGATTCGGCGTTTGTGATTTAATTAGTGGTTAAGCCATCGCATTTTGTGATTTTGTTCTCCCTTGCTTTTGGTTTTCGGTGTTTGATTTCGATTTGTTATTGTTCTCATCTGGCTCTAAAAATTGCTCTGACCTCCAGTGCTCTATGATAATATTGACTTGTGTACCTCTTACAAGTCATGTATGATTCATTGTTAAATATTGTCAAAAACAATTTTCGTCATATGCCCAATAGATTGATTGGACATTGACCTTGCTTTTTTTTTTGCGCTTTAGTTTGTAAATGTTGTAATTTGTAAATGATGTTGGTCTATTGTAGATATATTCCTCTTTGTTTTTGCTAGCACTAAACATCTGATTTTTTTTTTTCTTGTGGGGACATTGATGGCTTGTTGATATGTTTAGCCAGATCAGTATAGTGTTCGGTGTTTTTAATCGATCTGTTATGTTTATCTTGTTCTGATACTTTACTCTGTTTAAATATTTCTCATTTATTTCCATGGCTGACATTCGTAGGTAAGCCATGGTTAAGCACAACAATGTTATCCCTAACGGGCACTTCCGTAAGCATTGGCAAAACTATGTGAAGACCTGGTTCAATCAACCAGCAAGGAAGACTAGAAGACGGCAGGGTAATTTAATAACTTTTCTTGTTCTTTTAAAACTTCTCTTCTAGTAATTGTTTTGCATCGGTCCTTTTATATTAATAAAAGTTAGTTTGGATTATTGTTGATTATTGCTATATTTCTTTGGTCGTGCTGCATTATTCAGCTCGTCAGAAGAAAGCTGTTAAGATTTTCCCCAGGCCTACTTCTGGACCTCTTAGACCTATTGTTCATGGTCAAACTTTGAAATATAACATGAAAGTCAGAGCTGGTAGAGGTTTTTCTCTTGAAGAACTCAAGGTAAAATAGCTTGTTTTATCTCTTATCTCTGTCTATATCTTATGATGGATTGATGGGGTGTATCGTGTATGTAATTGTTGCCCGGCTTAGTTAGTTGGTATATTGAGGATGCTACACCTGTATTATTTATAATTAGGTTCATGCTATGGGACAGCACATAGTCTATGCTTTATTGCTATGATGAGATATTTAATTCGAAAATCTGGTTTCTGGGAGTATTTTTCCATTTTTAGTTTGAGGATGTTAAAAAAACCCCAAAGATTGTTTTAGGCATCAACTATGGAATGAAACAGTAAATCATGAGGAGTTTTACTTTCACTTTATCTTTTTTATTGTATATTTCTTCTATTTTATGTCATAGGCTGCTGGTATTCCCAAGAAGCTTGCTCCTACCATAGGCATTGCTGTTGATCATCGCCGCAAGAACCGATCTTTGGAAAGGCAGCAAGCTAATGTGCAGAGGCTGAAGACATACAAGGCCAAGTTGGTTGTGTTCCCAAGACGTGCACGCAAGGTCAAGGTAATGCAAATATGCAATTATCTGTTGTGATTAGGAGGGCTATTTCTTAATTTTGCTACTATCTTTGCTGCTGAAGGTGTAAAAGAAAATATGTTTTGACATTCATCTGGCCCAATGTGTTTTTGCAGGCTGGTGATTCTACCCCCGAGGAACTTGCAAATGCCACACAAGTCCAGGGTTCGTACTTGCCCATTGTGAGGGAGAAACCATCTGTAGAGGTTGTGAAGATTACAGATGAAATGAAGGCATTCAAAGCTTATTACAAGCTTCGCCTTGAACGCACAAACAAACGCCATTATGGTGCCAGACTGAAGAAGGCTGCTGAGGCCGAAAAGGAAGAAAAGAAGTGATGACCTTGAGAAGTTCGAGTTTGTAATCCATATAATAGTTGTTGCAAGACAATTTTTGCTCGAGGATTAGCTTTATTAAGGACATGCTTAATCTCAAACGTGGATCTTTTCGCCTATTATTAATTATTTCGTGCCCTGTTATTCAAGTTTTTTGGTTTAATTAGTCATTGGTTTGTCTGGATTATTTCGTTGTTTTTGGTAGTTTTTATTTTGTTCATTTTCTGTTTTTTTATTATGCTATAATGACAAGTCTTTTTTTTAACCCTTGAATTGTGGGAAGGTGGATAATTTTTGCTTCTATTGTCTTAGTGTGTGCCAAAACTATATATTTCTCACTTATTGACTCTTACGAGATTATACCGTAATGCTTAGATTAATTTCTATAATAATTATATAAATTTATTTTATTTACAGAGTGCCTTTTCATTTTTCATATAATATGCAATTGAATTTTTATTTTTGTTTGATTACCGATAAATTTTTGTATGTTTTTGTAATTTAGTCAAATTAAATTTGTACTTAATATGAAATAAGCATTTTTACGTCTAAATTTATGCTTGGTTCTATTATGTTAATATGGATATAAAATGTGTTCTCTTATAAATCCGGTGTCTCTGATTAGAACAATGGAATGTGATGGTACAGATCTTTGTTACCAGTGTTCGGTAGTCCGTAGGATAAATATTTACAACATATTTATGGTGGCATTTACCACACTTACCATATGTTTCTGATTTCATTTATTAAATATTTACTCTGAGTTATCATACTAAAGGATTCTGAGAATGTATTATGATTTTTTTTTAAGTAAACCAAATTTGATACTTGGATATTCGGTTTGATAACTGGTTGCTAATTTTTCACCTCTGGTAAATCGAAAGGAAATCTTTCCTATTTTGCTAGGGAAAACAACTAGAGAAACAATAAAATGCCTAGGTAGAAGCAACAAATTTCATGCAAAAATATTAACTTTGATCAATTATATCAATTATACTTAAAATGGTTAGATAATTTCAATAGGTGATCGCATTGCAATTACATTGCTATTACAAAAACATGTGTAAGATTTTTATTTGATGTGGCTCCTCCGAAGTCTTAGGTTGTGTTGGTCATTTATCTCTTAATATGTTCCTAAGATAGATAATATTCATTATATGCCTCTAAATTAAATCATTAAATATAGTTCATTCTAATAAATAAACAATAAAAATGTTTATTTTGATAAGGAATACAAACTTCTAAATTAATCTCACTTTCAGAAAAAATTTAATTAATTTGAATAATAACTTCATTCTTTCATGAAAATATTCTTTTAGAATTATACTAACCCCGTCTTTTATTATTGTAAATATATATATATATATATATATGGAAAATGTTTCTGCAGCAGTTAATGCAGATAACTTATCTGCATTTATTCTCAAAACGACGTCGTTTTGGTATTGAAATCTTAAAAAATTATTAATATAAAAACTATTATAACTCTAAAATAAATTAAAATTACAAAAACATCATGATTTTTCGTCTAAAACGACGTCGTATTGGGCTTACTGCAGATATGTTATCCGCAGTAACTGCAGAAAAAGCGAACAGTATTGACGTAATACACTGAAGTATTTTCCTCTCACATAATTCATGTCTTGGTAATAGAAAGAATCTATGTAGCACCGATACGACACACTGACACGACACGACATTCTGACACGTCAATCCTAAAAAATTATGGATTTCGACACGTTAGGACACGTTTTAATATTAAATAATATTTTTAAATTATATAGTGTGTATTTTATTTAATATTTAATAATTTAACAAAAAAATGAAACTAAATTAATAATTCTCATCAACACGTTATAAAAATAAGAATTGGAATGAGAGAGATATAATATCAGATAGAGAGATCAAATCATATTAGAGAGAGATCAGAGTCAAGGAGATACAACAAGAGCGTGATAGGAATTGACAATAATGATGCTGAGATGATCTCTTATCTACTTAATGGAAAAAAGACAAAAAAATAAAATTGATATCATCAGCGGAAGTTTTATTAATATATTTTAACTTTTAAAAAAAATAATTTTTTTTCAAAAAAAATTAAAAAAAATAATTACGAAAATGCCATTTGACCGTGTCGGACACGGTCAAATTCGCGTGTCGGAATGGTCAACGTGTCAGAAAAAGTTGACCGCATGTCCGACACGACTCTCCCTGTTTTTATAAGTGTCTGTACTTCCTTGGAAAGAATAATATACTAGTTAAACATCCAAATAAACACAGCACCCCACATAAAAAAACAAGTGACACAGAACACCAGATAAGATAATTTTTAATAAATAATGAAAATTGATGTAACATACATCTATATATAAAATATGGAAAAATATTTGTCCTTTTAAAATATATAACTTTTTGTCATTTTAGATTCTAATCATTGATTTTTGTCGATCAACGGTTATAATTTATTGCGAATTACTAATTTATTATATAATTAGATTTGGTAAATTATAATCATTAATAGACGAAAATCAGTTGTTAAAATCTAAAATGACATAAAATTATGTCTTTTAAAATATTTATTTTACATCTTATCCAAAAGAAAATATATTTTTTGCAATTAGTGCGTGTAGATAATTTGACGAAATATCAAAATTTAATTTAAAAGAAAAAGAAAACCTTAATTGCATCTACCTACGAAATTATGACATTTAAATCTATTTATCTCAATAATAAAGATAAGATAGTGGAGTTTATTATTTTTATTTTTTAAACAAAATAATATTTATCTATATTACATGAAATAATTATAGTTTTTTATTTATTTTTCAATTGGTGGGAGGAGGAATATGCTTGCGTTACGTAGACGCGCGTGAGTGAGTGGTGAATATATCCAGAGACAACGCAATTATAAGTACGCTTCGAACGTAACGCTCATCATCGTGTAGAAGCAACAATCAGATCAAGATCACTTTCAATCTCACAACCAAAACAAACATGGGTTTGCAGGTCTCTCTCTTAATCTATGTGCTTTCATATGTTTCATCGCTTGTTTTTCTTCAATCTCGTATCCACTTCACATCATTAATCATGTCACTCTTCCTTTCTCTGTCTATATATATATATATATCATAGCAAGCAATTTAGCACAGATCCTTGCCTTCTGCTCTTTTATTTCATTTTATACTTTATTTTTTTTCTTCCGTTTTGGTGTTTTAGATCTATGCCACTGTTTAATTTGTTATGGGGTAATGAATTTCTGGGGGGGAAAAGGCTTTTTTTTATATTATTTATTGGTGGGTATTATTTGCCTTAGAAGAAGTAATAACCTTTGACTTGTTGAAAATTGGAATTGTGAATCCCAAAATCAATCCTTTACACAGTGGCTTCTTAGATAGCTGTGTATTCCTTTTGAATAAAGAAAAGTAATAGCCAATTGTAACATCTCTATGTCTATGCATTCGTTTAGATTTTATTGGTAATAATTCATGTGGACAAATACCGTTTCAGCATAGTACCTTAAAATGTGACTTCTAGCTTCAGGAGCTGGTGATTTGTAACAGGAATCCCTTGATCTGTATGTTGGCTTCATGATACTGATTAAGATTTTTGGTGGGATTGATTGTTCTTTTATGGATCAATGAATTAAGGCAGAAGCACATGCTATCAAATTGGTAATTTGTAAAGGGAAATTGTATGGTTTAGCGATTCTGGTTATATTCAAAAAACAATGCTTTGTACAATGCTTTTTAGCAACTGTTTGACGAAATTGTGGAGAGAGCCCTGTTGTTCAAATAATGTAATTAGCCTGCATAGTATTTAATTGCGCCGCGAGCCGCGCCGTATGGGCGTTGCGGTGCCTCACCGCAAGAAACCGCTCCGCGCCGCATCGGAACGCAACAACAGCTATTGCAATCGCAAATTGAGGCTATATTGCTGTCATAAGTCAAAATGTCAATTTGTCCTAAATTTAAATGTGTAACAGAAATTTTTTAAGGGTTTTTTAGTCTATCTGTCTCTCTCTCTCTGTCACTTCTGTTATCTCTCTGCCTTTAAAAAATGTTTCTGTTTTTCATTATTTCTGTTATATATCTATTCTGCTATTTCCGCAACCGCAACCCGCTATAACGCTATAGCGTTTTTCGGAGTTGGCCGCGACATGCCGCAATCCGCGTTTGATAACTTTATTCTTATAGCAATTTTGTTTGTATCAGAATCTTATATGTACTTATGTTATGAATTTTGATCTAGTTTTACGCTTCTATGCTTAATATTGTGCTTATAAAAAAATTGACACTTAAAGCATCACACACTAATTTGGACATTGTTATGCAGGAGGATTTTGACCAGTATGCTGAGAAAGCCAAGAGTCTGCCAGAGAGTACAACAAACGAAGACAAGCTTATCCTTTATGGATTGTTCAAGCAAGCCACTGTTGGACCTGTCAATACCAGTGAGTGCTCTTTGCTCGTGTTAACAAATGACTCATCTTTGATATTGGAATCCTCTCTATTACCTTCCCCAATAAGGGTGGGATTTTTAAAATTTCCCCCCCTTTTCTATATCCATAAGGATTGTCCTTGTTCATGAATTTGTTCATGAATTTGTGCATGATTTACAGGCCGTCCTGGAATGTTCAACATGAGGGACAGAGCTAAATGGGATGCATGGAAGGCTGTTGAAGGTATTAAAATACAAACACACACACACACACACTTCAGTTCAAGTGTCCAGGAAAGCTAGCTAGATCAATTTCTATTTTTCTTGGTACTTTTATATTTTCTGAGAGACATCAAAACTCTTTGGCAGGGAAATCCAAGGAGGAAGCAATGAGCGATTACATCACTAAGGTGAAACAGCTACTCGAAGCAGCCGGCCTTCCTGCTTGACAACATTGCCATCTCTTGCTTTCTGAATTTGTGCTAAAATGTTTCGAAGTGTTTGGAAAATAAACAATTGCAGTGTTTGATCTAGAACTCTAATATGTAATCTTATTTATTGGTGACGAATTAGATCTGTTGCTTTCAGTTCATTAACTGTGTCACTACTATTGAAAATGGTTGTACACAGATGCAATGTTCCAGAGACTTAACAATGTCTATCTAGTATAATTAAAACTGTTTCAACTTTGGACTTCAGTTGCTTGATCCGGCGCTTTCACTTTCAGGTTTCAGCTCTCTATAATATGAATCTGAATTTCATAAGATGCTTGATTTTGGTTGATTATGTACCAGGCACAACATGCCCTTGTATATATTAGAACAAAATACACTTGTTTGTACTTGTTCTGTCAAACTCATAGAGTAGTACATGTGTATCCATACCCACCGTTACTGATGGCGGTATGCATGATGTGCTTGGCGTGCATGCAATGATTTCTTCAGAAATTTGGAATTTTAGGAGTTCAAACTCGCAGTTGTATGTGTATCTCATACTTGTAAATAACCTGCATCAAATCAGGGTGGGATTGAGTCGCAACATTGAAACATGCATAGAAGTATACAACAGATTAGTTTTGAGTTCATCTATCTTGATAGATCCACTCTACTAAATTTCTCTTAACTCTAAAGTTGACGTGCAATGTACCGGAAGGGTCATACTATTGACCTCTGAGTATGATCCTTATTCTGCATTTGCAAGAGGCCCCTCTCCTTGAGAATAAACAAAATAAATAATGCTACTTTACAATGAAACGTGATGATTCTAATTCTGTTTGCAGCATTTGCCTTTGTTTATAATTCATACCGGAAAGTTGATTTGCGAAAGTATTTTCCACCACAGAAAAAGAAGAAGAAAAAGCTAGTTTATTTTCAATTTTGACATCCTAAAAACAAATGTTTATATATATATATATATATATATATATATATATATATATATATTCCATGACTCTAATTATCTCTTCTGGACGAGTTATTTCCTCATGTATTTTTGCAACCCACGTAGGAAAAGGGAGCCGAGTAAGTAAGAAACTAATTTTGAGTTTAGTAGCGTGACAATTATTCAGTTCTAACTCCAAAAATTATCCTCAAGATTTGAATCCTTTCTTTTGACAGTTCATTTGTCTGGTGACTCGTATAACCACTTGAGACGACTCTCGGTGTCAAGTTCTAGTTCTGTGTGATATTGAATTAGACTATACATGAGTGTTTTCTTGAAGGCAACCAGAAGCCGTACCAATATTTATTGCTTGCTCTGGTCCCATGCTTCCTGAACTTCAACGGTTCTACCTGTAAAATGAAATCATGGGCAAAAATTCATTATGATGACTTTTCTGTCTTTTATATAAAACAGCTTGCATCCAAATGGATACGAGTGATATTACTTGTAAATATTTACAGCTACTCATTCTTTTATAAATCACTAAATAATAAATAATACTCGAGAACTGACATCACATACATAAAGCATATTTAGAAAGATATGTATAATTTTAAGCCCTTATAAGTGCTGGATTTGGTACGTTGTGGTCCTGTAATATCTCTTTATCTGGCTTCTTTTCTTGACTTGTTTTGCGATAAATCATGCTGACCCTCGGTAGTTGGTACTATGTTAGATTCAGATCAGGTTTTGTTGTTTTAAATGGAAGGGCAAGAGTAGTTGGCTACATTTAGGACCTTAACGAGTACAGTGAAGATCTGGAGCACACATGATTTTCTCATAGAACTATCAAGTATCCAAATGGTTTGGCATAATAACTACAACCTCTCTCACAAACTATTGCCTAATTTGATAACCTTAAGGACAAGGTTCTTTCATAGGGGGGTGGTATTGATACGACTTTGTATTAGGAGGTAAAGAATATTCCTTAGGAAATATATTTAGTCATTAGGAAGTTAGTCAGGTGGATTGGTTTTGTTTGTATAAAAAGGGAGTGTGTCCTTACTCAATGGCGGAGCCAGGATTATTAACGATTTTTTTTTTTACCCATTCAACCACACTTTCTCTCTCACGCACTCTCCAATCCCCCCGCCTCTCTCTCTCTCTCCGCCATCATTCCACAAAAGACACTAAACACAGCAAAAGGCATGAGCCATTTTCACCAATAGCTTTCTCGGTCAATTTAACTCAAACAAGCTTCTAAGTTTCCTCTGCAATATAGCCTTATCATAACAAAATAAAGAGATTCAATATTAATTGTGGGTCTATTTGCACCTTCCCTTAAACTTGCACATATTCAAACACACCAAACTTCAAAAGTAAATAGTATGAAAAAAGCTCTCCAAAATAACACTTCTCATTATAAAAGTTATCTAGCTTTTTTATAATGTATTAATGCTTTCTGAAATTAATACAACATATTTTCATTTTAAATGTGTAACTCATTAACTCAAAGCAAGTTTGCTCTTTATATATCAATAACATTTTGCAGCGGAAAGTTGAGAATGGAGGGGAGGAGGAGGGGGAGTCCTTGGCGCGCCCTTGGTCTCTTTAAAAGATTAAGTTAAAATAATTTTCTTCAAAACTTGGAGGGAGGAGAGGGGCGGCCGCACACCCTAGCCTCCGCCTCTGTCCTTACTATTTATTGGATTCAGTTTTTGGTATTTTCTGAATATAGGCAGAGAGTGCTCGGTTTGAGGGGGAGTGCCCCTTGGCAAGAGAAGTATCTCTTCTCTTGCGTGTAGTTTGGTTTTTCTTTTCTCATCAATAAACATATCCTATTTTCTTCCATTTCCATTTGTTTCTTTGTTCTTCCTTTCTATAATACCAATTCCAATTTCTAAAGAACCCAGAGCTGTAACAGGGTCACATGGTGACAAAACCAACCGATGTGTCAAGGTTCCCCTTCAAAAACATTACTATGATTAATGATAGTAAAATGAAGGTAAGATATGAATTGAATTAGTAAAATGAAAGCGAGGGAGGAGGAAGAAAGAACAAAGAAAAAAATATCTGTAATATAGATAACAAAGAAAGCACATTGTTTATACAGAGCAATCTCATCTTGACAAAATAATTCAATGTTATTGATTAGCAAGCCTACAAGATTCAAATGAAGCTTGTAAGATATTAAGATAAGACAATGTTGAAAGAAACATCTAATGTTAAAACCTGTAACAGATACCATTATGTTTTCCATGTAACAGCTCATGAATACAGACAAGAACAAGACTACATTTAAGGAAAAACCTGTAAGAAAGAGATTAACCAACACTTTCTACATCAAGCAGAACAACCTAGTCAGTTAATTATGTCAGTAAAATTTAGACAGAGACATAAATATCAGTGATTTACATCAGATGTCAAAGGATGGTAAACTACAAAAGTTAAACATGCCGCCGAGTAGAACATGAACATAAGACAATCAAAAGTACTTAAACTGAGAACAAGTGGACTCAAATATTACAAACTAATAGAATTCCACAAAGTGGATGGATGTAAAGAACATATGGATAGAACTTGCTTACGATGTATATTTTTTTATAGGTATTTAAGTATGTTTATAATTTTTTAAATATAAATTATAGATTTATTGAACTAATGACCTAGTACCTCGACAGAATCAACGACGGGCTCAGTTTAACAGCATTGGCTCCTGGTGTTAAGTCCATTCCATATTGGCACTTAAGCAGCAGGTATATTTGACTATATGGCAAGCCAAAAGGAGCATGTTAGCAGATATCTAGAAGACAAACACTCGATTGAGTTATAAAAGTAGCAATACCTGCAATAGGTGCACTATTTGATCTTGAATGAAGGGCGTAGGGGGAAAATTACTAATTTTATACCAGGACAAATAAGTAAGAGCTGGTAGCTGCAACACAAGACAGTCCCAAGTTGTAAAATCACAGCAAAATGTAAAAGCAGAATTTATAGGAATGTAGAGGAAACTAAATGACTTGTGTGAGCCATTTGGGGCAGCAGCAGATTACAATACGATGTCAACATTGTAATAAAGAAACTAAATGAGCAAATCAAAATTCATAATACCAAGCATTCGTAAACAACCAATTATCAATATTTAGATTAAAAAATGGAGACAAATATCATTAAATCAGTTAAAAGGTATCTAGAATCTACTTGTAAACGAGAAAGGAAAAGGCCACACCATCCAATACTGTACCATCCCTTGAGTAATGTACACATTGTGAAAACTCCTTCAAATATTGTGGTTCTTAAGTGAAAAAAATGCGTACATCAATGATGCAGCATGACAAATAATGAATCTTTACAGACATAAGCACGAAACCTCAAACATCCAAGAGTGCTACCATTACTTTTATTATTGTTATTATGATATAGTTAAACCCTAAAAAGTTAGCATCCTTTCCTACAAACCGAATCAAGGCGACAAACTATTGTAATTACATGCATATCTGTCATCGTTCCAAAGATGTGATCGAGTTATGACAACTTATTATCTTTGCAATGAAAAGGAGACTTCCCCAGAAGCCACACCTGTTGAAGAATACCCCTCGTGACGAGAATGATGCAGAAAAGGAAAGAGGAAACATGAAGCATGGAGTGTGAAACGAACCACAAAAAAAAATTCGGACCATTTCTCGATTTGTGCGTGTCATCCTTGTGCAGGGGCCATGCTAATCTTCTCTGTATCGTTCCAATTTTATCGGATGTCCCCGAAGGGACAAACCCTATGGTTGAGCACCTGTTTATAAACTCTGTATTTTCGTAGTATTAGCCGATGTGGGACTCCAGTGGCAGATGCAATCCAATGACTAACAACACAAGTACCGCTCAGCCTCTGCAGAAGCAAACATGAAGGAAGCATCTCTCAAACTGCTGGGAGTTTTTCCCTCAAAGCAGATCAGAGAAAGATATGAATATTTTTAATGTATTTTTTTATATGCTTTGGGACAAAGAGCGGGTGGTGTAAATACAAACCAGGTACCCTTTATTACTATCCGTAGCCTTGTAGCCTCTTTGATTACTCTCTGCTCTATACTCTGCAACTTAGTTTTGATTTGACATCTCAATTTTATATTTATTCATTTATTATTATTCTATTAGTTTATTTTCTATATTTCTCTCTCCTTTAAGATGGAAATTAAAACTCTTCTGTTACGTCACTTTATGTTTAATATAAGTAAATCACTATTACCATGAAATTTTGTATAAACATCACAAACCCATAATACATCCTTATCATATTAAAATTGATCAAATCTTTTATACTAAATTATGAATTTTAAAAAAATTCTGATGTTTCATGAAAATTCTAATCTCATGTTATAAATATAATAAAAGTGAGATTTATTTATTTAAAAAAAAACAAAAAAAATGATACATTTTTTTATAATGTCTGTAAGAAAAATTTATTTTTTCTTTTTATACGACAGAAACAAATTCCAATTATGAAATGATGTGAAAAATATAAAAAAAAATATAAAACATTAAACTTTAATAGACGGGGGAAGCTACCCCTTAAGATAAAGCTAAATAAGTAAACATGGGGCGTTAACTTGCTTGCTTCAGTAATCTTCATATGCCTACTTCAGCTTTTACTAGTAACTACAGATATGATGTGACATGATGCACATTACAAGTTGAGAGTTTTGAACGTCCGTAGCTTCATTTCACTCACAACCCCACGTGGTAATAATAAATCCAACTTACAATGGGATGGGGTCACTCCACTACTATTTAAGAAAAACCTTCGCCACAACCCTCACTCCCCACCTCATCATAAAATAATGTTCATTAGACAAATCATTTGTGTTGGGTGGGTCCCTCATTCATGTGATCATACTACCTCATTCATGCACCAAGCAATTCAAAGAGATTGTTGATATAGCATTTAGTATCATTAATGCAGCATTTAATGCTAATGATGGAGCATCTTTGGAGATTATTTTCTCAGTTGGAATTGATATAATATAATTGCTAAATTAACAGTGGAATATTGTCTCTCATTAATTGATATTATATTGAATTCCTCCTGTATAAATAAGAGGTAGTGAAAAACAATGTGAGTGAGTGAGTTATTTAAGAAAGTATGAAAAAAATATGTATGTGAGAAATAGTAAGAAATTATATATGGGGTTCTTGGTTTTGGTTTAAAATCTAAGTATTGTTATGTTGTATAATTTGAAATTTCTCATATATATAGTACATTTTATATTCTCTAATAGATGTAGGCCTATTTTATTGGATCTTGTTAAATTATGTCTCTTCAACTATTATAATTTCAAAATTTTATTTTATTAGGGTTCGCTGCTTAATTTTTATTAGGGTGTCATGAATAGAGGTGGCTTAGTATAATTATGTTTCTTTGAATGACTCAGCTCAATAGTTTGATCCCAAATATGAGTAATGTTATATTTACAAAAATTTTATTTACAAATTTTTATAAATTATACTATATTTTACTAGCAAGACACTCTTAAGTGAAGTCTTACCGGTAAGATATAGTATAGTTTATAAGTTTGTAAAAAAAAAAAATTGTCAATATAACCCTCCTCTCCAAACATTATGGCTAAAATCACTGTAACAAAAGTTACTGTTGAAAAGTGTGATGGTATAATCAACTTTAATTTGTGGCAAATGTAGAAGATGTTGGTTGTGAAACAACAAGATCTAAAATAACGAAATATTTACGCTACATCTCTCGCACCACTGCCTCGTGCGACGGGTCAATTAAAATAGAGCATTTTTTATAATGTGTATGAAAAAGAAAAAAAAAATCTAAATATCAATTTTTTAACGAAAGTTGTAAGTGCACTGGATGTATTGAAAATGCTCTTCAAAATAGGCCTTGTTTGGAAAAACAAAGAATCCATGTATGATGTTGGATGATGACTAAGGTGATATGGATGAGAAAGCATTTTTTACAATTTTCTTCGTGAGGTGTGCCAAAAAAGACAATGTCATATTTGTGGTTGAAGACAGAAAAATTTTATCTTATAAATTCTACAACAAATTGACTCTAGATTAAATAACATTTGCACACATTGTGCACGAACGAAGACATGTCAGTCCAATTTCATATTGCCAATTCTAATTCCATAGTTGATACCTTGCCAAAATGGAAGCTAAAGTTGAGGTTGAATACTTAGATATGATATTGTTGTGTTTTTTAACATCTTCCTATAGTCATTTTCGCAATACAATGATATTTGGGAGAGAATCAATCTTGCTAGAGGATGTCAAAGTTAGTATGTGAAGATAGATGGTGACTTGGCATTGAATAACATGGATTATCACAAAAGAGTTATGATGGGTAAAGGAAGAGGAAGATCGATTGGTAGTGGATTTAAGAGAAGCTGTTTTAAATCCAAGTTCACAATCCATTAGAAAGGTACCACAATATTATCATTATTCATTACAAAGTTTTTTGCGCATCAGAAGACATTGTCCACAAAGGGTAAAACGAGTTGGTGAAATAGAAAATGTTGCGATGATAGTTGATGAAAGGATCTTTTCTTGCAATCTCCAAATACAAATACACTTTCTATTCTAAAGATGAGTGGTTTATAGATTTCAAGTGTTATGTTCATATTTGTTACATAAAGCATTGTTTTTTGACACATTCAACAAAAGCAAAGGTGGAGTAGTATCCTAGGACAACGAGTTTGTATGTGACATGGTTGCGACAGGAACAATTAAAAAAAAAATGTTAGATGTAATAGTTACTTTTATGTGGTATGGTTTATATCCCAAAGCATGTAGAATTTTTTTTTTTTTTGGTTAACAACTCAAACTCCAAAAATTGTAAGATTACCATTAATGGTGAAGTTGTAAAAGTCATGCAAGGTTATATGGTTCTAGAAAAGTGTAAAAATTTATTTATTATCCTAAAATCTCAAAGAAAAATTTAAAGTTGTGTACAAATGACGACCGCCTGCATAATATCTCTTTCACATTTGATTTGAGATAAAGTTCAAAGTATAATTGTACTATGAAATTTCTCATAAAACATTTTATAGACATATGGTGTTATGCACTTTTTTTAGAGATAAATAAATGTATGATTTAAAATGAGTGAGATATGATTTAAATATTACCATAATCACTCAAAAAGTTGAGTAAACTAATAACTTCCAAAGGATATTATGATTGCTGAAAAGTATCTAATCACAATATATACCAAAGTATCCAGGAATCAAAGCTGGCACTCAAGTCGCAACAAGAAAAATATCAAACCAAATTAAGTGTTATGAATTGTAATATAAAACAATAATAATAACAGCAACCTTTGCTATAGCTGAATTTCAAAACAGCTCAGTGTCAATCTCAGAAAAAGGTGTGTCTTCTTAAAACTAAGAATATGCTAGCTAGCAACAAGGTAACACTTCACCGTGGTGGCAACCCACTTTGAACAAGACCAATTTCCATCACATCAATGCTGTGATGTGCATTCAAATCAGGGGGACCGAAATCCGGCAAGTGGTGGAGCGCCGCCGGCGAAGGCGTGGCAGAGGCACGGCAAATGGGGCAACTTGAATGTGAATGGAGCCACATATCAATGCAAGGTACGTGGAAAGAGTGCATGCATTCAGGCAACGTTCTCAACTCTTCACCATCCTCAAAATCTCCCAAGCACACTGCACATGTGTCACCTTCATCCCTATCACCATCATCTGAAACCACATGGTCACCTTTCTTCTTCTTCTTCTTATGATACTTGTGTGTTGGAATCATGAGTGCCAGTGACGAGGAAATGCTAGCGTTGATGGTCGGTGTTGGTGGCGGTTGCTGTTCCGTTGAGTTTTGGTCGTCTGTGAGGCGCTGGTTGCAACACCAAATAGCTATGAGATGGTAAGTTGAGACAACAAATGCTGCTGAACCCATGGCAATGAGTAAGACAACAACGTTTTCACGGAAAGGATGACCATCGTCGTCACCGTCCATGGATCAATGATCATGTGATGATACGAAAAATAATAAAACAACGGTTGCAATGATCTGAATTGAACCTTAAGAAAAGTGACAAAGCCGGCTAAGGAAGTCGATTAATCTACCTATTTAATACGATGATTTCAAGAGATTCGTTTTTATTTAATGCCGTCTTATTAACGTTTTTGCATTCTTTTTCTTGATTTAGTCATAACAGATCAGAATGTGATTAATTACAATTGATACGGATTTCTGAATCCATAAAGTTAATGGAAAAAAGACAAAAATGGAGCAGCAATATGTTTATAAATTACAATGATAACACATTTCAAGCATGTTTTTCTTCGATAAAAATTACTGTAAGTATATAAATTTAGCGATTGGTTTAATCACATGTAAGATAAGTTTCCCTCACTTTTAGTACACAGGGACCTCAATGAATATAATCAGAAAATGTAAAGTTCAATCCGACAAAACTTATATACAGTAAACGCACGGCACTAATATTAATTATAATATTTCTTACAATAAACGCATGGCACTAATATTAAAATCAAATCAATTAAACTTTATGGGTCGAATCAACATAATTATAACTCAGGATTTTTTTAAGCAACATAAAAAATCTACGATATACATGAGAAATAAATGGCAACAGCGCAGCCCAGGTACAATTCAACCTCAATTTCAGGTAATCCAATAAAACCTTATACCACCTAAACCCATAGCTCTGACGTAGCTATCATAAGTTACAGTCATATAAATAATGTCCTTAAGTATAATGCGTACTACATGAATGATGTAAAGATAGTATAATGTATAAAAATAAGAAGTGAAGTTTTATGCCGTTCAACTCGTTATAGTGAGATGCATAAAATCATAGGTCTACATAGTACATATAGCACAAATAAAATCCGACGATTTCCATGTATAAGGTGACCCCGTGCAATAATGTTCCTCCGTATAGATGGGACCATGGAGGTCAATTCTCCTTGGTCGGTATTAATTCTTACATGTGACACACAGGTATAAAATAAAAAATAAAATAAGATAAAACAAAAACTCAACTAAGGTGTGCTGATCCAACCACCTTTTGTAGCATAGTTTTCAACAACTCCGTTAAATTGAATTTGGAATGAAAGAGGAAAATTACTTGTCATTAATTTGTTAAAACCCTAATCAAAACCCCTTGATCATCATCATTTATGTAAGTTTCTACAAGCACAAATAACAAGAGGATGTTTCAGATATTAATCCAATATATCTGATGAGTAACTGTATCCTAAGCCTTTTCATTGTTCTCTTAAAAAGACAAAACATTATATAACGTAAAAAACAAGTGAACACTGAACAATGAAGACGCTGATAAGAATCCTCCTTAAGAGAGATACCAAGGAGAAACATAGAAAGACAAGAGAAACAAACAAAATAGGAAAACAGAAATGGATATGGGGATGTGCGTGTGCGTGTGTGTTTCTTTTGGAATTAGTGATGTGATGAATCTTTACCATTATTCTTGTTTCTTGGCCGTTACATTTGTGTGGTTCCATCTGCAAATGGACAAATGCATTTAAGATGGATGTCCTCATGGGGGGCGAAGAAGAACATATTTAAGATGCCAACATAAGCATAAGTGGTATGATTTCATTTCACAGGGATATCACAACTACCACTTTTATGTATTGAAACAATATACATACCAAAAGAGATAACTCGTTGGGTTGAGAAGTGAGGCTTCCTACCAGTCTTTCAGATTCTATTGAACAAAAGGATATCTAGAAATATAATATTCTCTTACACGAGATGCACCATCCCTTGCCAGAATCCCTTCGAGATCGCCAATAATTCTGGCCAACCATATCTCCAAATTTCGCTGGATTTCTTTGAAGTTGTTTCTAATGGAGTCCAAAGACCGTCTTGTGGTCAGTGTGGTATCACTTCTTACCTCATCCCTGTAATTGCTCTTCCCAATTTCAGTTTGTAACGGCATTAGCTTCTGTCCAGTTTCAGATGCACCCTGTTGAAGCCGAAATGCTTCGAGTAAAAACTCTGTTTGAGTTTGGGTTCTAAATTCTGAACTCAGGGAGGGTTCACAGGGATCACCAGCCTGCTAAAAAAGAAAATGGATGTCAGGCCCAAAAATGCAAATGGTTTCCCATGAAAGGGTAAAATGTGCCAGGTTTAACTAGACGAAACAATAAAAGCTGGCTTGCAGTGGGCCCGTTGTTTTGGGGATACATTCGCGCAAAGTATTAGCTGCCTTTACGTAACATAAACTCCACATTAAACTTTCTTCAAATCAGATTATATTAGTGCATACACATAACACACAGAAAGTTCTGATGTTGCATCATGCTTCCTTGAATTACATAATGGTGATTCTGTTGTTGGCCTTGATTACATGCACAATACTATGAATGATGCAAGCTATCACTTCTCATCCCTGGGATGAAACAGTTGATAGCCAAACAAAAAACTTAGAATAATAATTTAAATAGATAATCAATTGGCACTAAGCTTCACCCACAAACAACTACCTTTGCTTATCCAATTACATTGCACATGAATAAAAATGGTATTCAAGCACACAACCATTGATTCGGGACCAATTATCATCTATTCCAACTGGTTGACATGACAGTAAATATTATCAGGGCATCACCATGATTCATTGTTCTCTACAGAGTTTATAGGACTCGAACCAATTGATTGAATGTACCAATGAATTTTATAGTAGGTGTGTTGACATCACGCATCTTTCATATCAGCTCACATTGAGAGAGACATATTTCAAAATATATAGGTGGCTGTATTGAAATAATTGGAGGATGAAGAATTTTAAGTAAAGGTGGAAAAGGATGACTCACATTCCAACTTATGGATTAATTACAATTCGCAAGGTGGCAAAAACATGAAAAAAGAAAAAAAGAAATACAACACAAATTACTTACTATTCTTCGGCATAAATCGTCAATTTTTTCTGAAAGCGTTTGATATATCTTTGCCTGCTTCTTAATTAAGGATGACACCTTGGATGGATCACCTTTACCAATCTTCTCCAGATTTAATAATTCTTGTTCAAGTGATTTAAGTTTAGAGGAAACTCCTGCCGAATCACCATCTACCTTCCATGGGGACTCCCTTCTGGGGAGAAAAAATTACCCTTAAATGAGTTGGAGATTAATGCCTAATACAACAAAAGTCATCTGCATATAGAATATCAATTATTTACCTTGCCACAAAATGTTTTGTATTATACATTGATTCAAGGGATTCATACTGTACATCCTGCAAGAGTAAACAATTACAGATCAGAAATTGGCAAAATTCTTGGACAAGTAGTTGCTTATAATATTTGTTGCCAAGTAAATCACATTGAGTACACCCAACAAAATTACGGTTTTTGTTTCGAGCGGAATAAATACTGTTATATGGAAGTCAAATAACCTTAGGTCTTGATGTTACTTTACGAAGCAAAAGTCTTCTTCCTAATACCTTTTTAAGTTTTTAGGTAGAGCGGTTCTTTGATACCTTTCTTAAGTAAGAGTTTGGATTGATGATCACTTATCTGGTGAACAATGGAATTTAATAAATACCTGGTTTGCTTAGGCCATCCCTTGTTATTTATTGTTGGTGAATGGTGATTCTCAGCAAAGCCATCTTTCAAAAAAAATAAAAGTAGTTTTCTTGGGACATCTTTACGAAGAGAAGAAGTAAATAAACATACAACCACTTATTTTATGCACAAGATACTAAGGGGGGAAATAATCAAATTGACTAGAGTAAACGACTAGAGAACCAATTATATCAGAGCTGTAAGAAGAGAAGACCCTTTTCCCCCTGGTGGGAGCTTTAAGAATGTTCTTATTTTTTACTGTTTGTTTTCTTGGTTAAGTCAACACTCTCGAAGAACAAAAAAATTTGCTTGTACAGCGTTTGCAGTAGCAAAGAGAAAAAGATTATTAGCAGCAAAAAGGCAAGATGTATTTCTATCTCAATCAGTGAATGCTAACTAACAACAATATTAGCGGCTTTAGCAATTAGCAACCATGTCACCGGCATAGACAATAAACAACCTGCAGAATAATGCCCCTAGATTTCATCACATGATAAGAATGGTGACAACTGCCTGCTGAAATTGAAGTGGACCAGGCATGCAAAGCAACATAACATCCAATGGGAGAAAATTGCTATAAGAAAAGACAGAAACAAACAAATAACAAATGGATGATGCATGGCTCCACCACGATGAATCATAATGAACCTAACCAACTCCATCTGAACTTGAAAGAAAAAACTAAGGCCTAACGGACCCCAGTTGCCATTATAAACACCATTTCTTTTCCTCATAGAAAGTCAGGTCCAAAGCAGAGTTCTACCGTACAAATTACATACCCGAGGAACCTTGAAAATTGAGTAAAAAGTGTTTGGAAAAAGGAACATGAAACAAAGCTAGAACTAAGGATTTTATAACCCAAAATCCTAAAGCAGGTCATCCTTTGGATTAGTAAATCATATTTCATTTTGTATTAAATTCACAACCACTTCACATTTACAAAAAGTTAAAAAAAAAATTATAACCGCCATTATAAAGAGAAAGTTGGTTAAGATAAGTTTAATTCTTAAGAGAGGAAAGAAAATAAATAAATAAAAGTCAAACATGCAGTAATTGTGAATCTTAATTCTAAAGAAAATGATGAAGATTTTCCATCCACAAACCTGCCAAAGGGAGGCTTTTTCAGCCCAGAACTTGGAAGCAGAAGCCATAAACTCTGAATCAAACTCATTACCAAGCTGGTGAGTGTGTTGATGTTGATGTTCATAGATAACCTCCACATTCCTAGCGGTCCCCACCATGCACTCTTCCTCTTCCTCCTCTTTCTGAAACCACTCACTACTCTTCTTCCCGGGCACACCGTAGTACTCCCTGCTCTGGCAAGCACCCAATCCCTCCTCCTCAATCCTCCTTGACATGAAGCTTATCATGTCATCCCTCTCCGCCACTTCCCTCTCCAACTCATCCACACGCGCCTTCGACTCCTCCATCTTCCCCCTCAAGCGCGTGATCTCCTCCGCCGCCGCGTCGATCTGCTGCAGCAACCGCTTCTCCTCCGCCTGCCAGGCGTTCCGATGGGAGGCGAAGATCTCAACCACCCTCGCATTCGCCTTCGAATCTTCTTGCCTCCTTGACTTCATTTGCCTCAGCTCCTCCTCAGCACGAAACAGCTTCAGCGACAGCTCACGCAGCTGAGTCTTCGGTAACAGTGCAAGGAACACCGAGAAGCTTAAGCCTATGTACGAACACAACACCTTCTTCTCCTCTCGCTCTCGCTGTTCGTGTTCCTCCTCTGCCATTGCAATGGTTAACAGGAACAGAAAAAAAAGGGAAGAGAAAGAGGGGTTAGTTTAGTTTAGTTCAGTTTCGAGGTGCAGCTTTGGAACAGAAAAAGCAAATGCTTCTTTTTGGTTTCTGCGTTTTGAGTTTGAGAACGCAGACGCAGCAACAGAAACAAACTACACTGATTTTTTTGTCGTTTGGTTTGTGGGTAGCTGTGGTCGACACAAATGGGTTTGTGTTTCGTACTTAATTACAAAATGGCACTCATCTTCATAAAAAGAAAAAAAAAATTCATATATGAATTTAATATTTTTTAGGGACGAAGAATCGGTTTACAAACTTTCTTAATAAATTTTTACAAATTATACTATTTTTCCTCGAAAAATCATAATAAAATTAGTATTCTCTCGAAAAAAAATAATATAATTTATAAAAAAATTTAAAAAAAAAATTATAAATATAAACTCGTTGTTATAACAAGTTTTTATTGAAACCTGAAACTTTAAAGGGTGATGTAATTATAGTGTAGAGTGTAAAAGTGCTTGTCAGTTCACTTCTGCTACTTTGTAGAGTTGCAGGCTAGGGAGGAAGGTGGGGCCTATCCTATTTCCCTAGCTAGGATGCTATCTTAGATAAAAAAAAAATGTGAAAATGAATCGAAATTTGAGATAAAAATACCAATAAAAGATTTCTCCAATCAATAGAGATAAGTTATTTTTGATGAATTCAAAACGACGTTATTTTATAAGATTATATTAGTCTTTATAAAATTATAATTATAATTTTTTAATTCAAAATGACGTCGTTTTGAGCTCAGAAATAACTTTATTTTCAATGACCGAAGAAATCTTTTTCCTAAAAATACATGAATTGAATTAACAATAGTTAAATTAAATAGATGAGCCGCTCCATCGAAGTTTTAAGTATTAAATATTGTTTTAAAATAGATATTTTTAAAGGAAAAATATTTTTTATATCTGTGATCAAAAAAATTATTTGCCACAAAAAAAAAGTAAGAGAAAGAATACGGTTCCATCTCAATTTTTTCTGTGATGAAAAATTTCTATTACAGATATAGAAAACATTTCCCCAGTTTTTAAATACTTATTAATATTTTGTATTTTAATATAGACAATTTAAAGTGTTTAAAATTTTTAATTTAACAATATAAATAAATAAATTATAAGTCAGTGAACTGATCTGAACAACTTGTCATCCGTGTGAATTTGACGGACTATGAAAAGCCAATCCTTTAACTTTTGGCGGCTTTTAGTTTTCTTTCCTTGAAAAAAACAACTTATTTTTTGGGATCCGTGGGCTTTAGAAAAAAATATATATATTTATTTAAAAAAACTTTTTTAAAACATCAAAATTATTTTATACTTAGATGATTATTTAAAGGGTAAAAAATTTCTTCAGTGGAGATAAGATATCTCCAGTGAGCTCAAAACGATATTATTTTGTGGCTGAAATTAAGGTATCTTTGTAATTATAATATATTTTAGGGTTATATTAGTCTTTATTATTTTAATTTTTTAATATTATAACCTAAAACGAAGTCGTTTTGAGCTCAATGAAAATAATTTTATCTCCGATGACGGGAAAAATATATTTTCTTTATTTAAAAAGTGTTTTTAAATAAAAAAAAGTTATTTGAGTATTAAAATAGGGTAAGGTTATAGTTACTCCCTCTTTTGCTACTACTTGTTACTAATAAATCGTAACCGTTGATTTCCGTCAATCTAATGATTATAATTTATTTGGTCATATTTATTATTTAATTTTTAATTTTTAATAAATTATAACCGTTAAATTTACATAAATCAACAGTTATATTTAGTAATAACAAGTATGTTAAGAACCTTGAGGTCACCCCCCAAAAGCTAACTCAAAGGGTGAAAGTGCTCAAGGCCTTATAAAGGTCATATTAGTTGCCCATCCAATAAATGTGGGACTATATATCTCAACACGCCCCCTCACGCAAGAGCCTTTAGGCTAGAAGCCTGGAAATTGCACAGGCCCATTTTTGGTTTACCTTTTTGTGCTTTTTTTATTTTATCTTAATTCCACTTTTTAAAGCGGGGAACGGTGAGGCTTTGATACCATGTTAAGAACCTTGAGGTCACCACCCAAAAAATTAGCTCAAAGGGTGGGAGTGCCCAGGACCTTATAAAGGACATATTAATTGTTCATCCAACCAATATAGGACTATATATCTTAACAAAGTAATAACAAAAAGGCTATTAAAATAAAATAAAAACATTTGTTTCTTTGAATTATTTTATCGAACACTCGAAAATTGAGTCAATAATGTATTCAACCGAACACTACCGGAGCTACTGGAAACCGACCTATATATAAAAACACCGGACAAAGGCTAGCCCTATGATTTTGAAATACATGGATTGTCCAGATTCGATCGGTATACCAAATGGATTCATTCGCAGAAGTTTTTTTAAAAAATAGATAAAAAATTCCTGTCATCTGATATATTTGTCAAGACTATAATATTATAACAATCAATTAATGTCACTATCAATATTACTACCAATTAATTTCACAGTTAGATCGATTATGTTAATCCAACGGTTATATTTATTTTCATCTTTGTATGATTATGATTTTCCATATTTAATGTAAAAGCATTAATATGAAAAATTATAAGCATACAAAGTTGAAAATAAATATAAAATATTAAAAGGTTTTATAAGAGTTATGTTGTAGGAAAAATGATTGTGTTATGTTATAGAGATTCGTTTTGCGTGCCGTAGTTTTTTTTTTTAAATATGCGGGTCCCACAAAATGTTATGTGTGTAGGAAACTTTGAGCGGTCATGTTAAATGATAAATGCAAATCCCAGTATTAAATATGAGAATTATAACTATACAAAGATTGAAATAAATATAACCGTTAGATCAACATAATCGATTTAACAATGAAATTAATTGATAGGAACATTGATAATAATACTAATTGATTATTACAATATTCTCCCTTTATTTTTTATTAAATAGATTAAGTCCTCAATTTATTTTACGTTTATTTGAGTTCATTGATATTAATCAAAAAAATAATTTAAGATGAAAAGTAATGTTGATATTAATAATAAATCACGCGCTTTTTCATCGTTTGTAAGTTGTAACAACGTAGTAGGATGGTGGCACAGAGAAATTGTTGCAGGTAATAAAATAAAATTCCCCAGCGATGCATGACACGGATTGCGAGTTGAGAGCAGTGTTACAAAAACGGATCGCACTTGACGGCTACGATCGGTTGACCTGTAAATTGGATCTTTAATCGGTCCGCTTTAGATACTAATTTGGTTATGCATTTAACCAAAACTGGTGGATTGGTCTTGAACAGAATTTAACGGCTAATGAACCTGCACCCATTTTTTTTTTTAAAAAGATTGGATTTGTGAAATTTTGAAAATATTAAAAAATACAATTAATGACATTCGAACCAACTATGTGGATTATAACATATTGCACTTACTAGTAAACTATTTTTAATAATGTTATAACGTTTCTAATTTTATATTTATTATATATATTTAATTTGTGTGGTTAAATCAATGATCAACTGATTAAACCAATAATCCATTAACCAATAACCGATTTGAGTTTGATAATACCTGTTGAAACAGGGTACATCTCGAAATGTCAAGGAAAAAAATATGTTAACAATATATTCCAAAAACATAAAGCTAATAATTACGTATAATTTCACGTAGAATATAATATTAATATGATATCGTTAAGGACGGTGTGTTTTAAAATAATTAAAATCCAAAAACAAGAATAAAATACAAAACTATATATAGAAAATACAAGTTGTAGGAATCAGATTTTTGTCCTCCAGCTTGTTTTGAACTTTGTATTTTGAAAAATATAATTATAATATTGAAATTTTTTTTTCCTGACATAGAGGAGGACATTTTTTACAAATTTATAACTATATATTTTCTGGAATATATAGTTAAAACTAAGTTATAGTAGAGAAAAAATGTCATGTAATCAGATCATCCAACGGATATATATATATATATATGTAGAATTTATTTTTTCTAAAGTTACTTTAGGGAACTTTATTTAATGTTCATCAAAACAACGTCGTTTTGGGATGAAAATCATAGTGTTTTTACAATTTTAATTTATTTTAGGTGTAAGATTATAGTGTCCCACATTTAATGCTTTCATCTTTTGTATGGTTATGATTTCTCACATTTATATCTTTACTTGTATATATGGCAAGTATTTGATTGTTGCACGCACAGCAGCTGCAAAAATGTAAATCCCATATATATATATATATATATATATATATATATATATATACGGAGGATATTCTCACTACCAAAATTTTTTACTACCAACTTACTACATATTTAATCACCATTAGATTAAAATTTTCTCTCTCTTCAAAAACTTTTTAACATTCTCTCTTTGATCCAATGGTGATGTGATGTGTAGTAAGTTAGTAGTAAGAATTTTTGGTAGTTAGAATATCCTCACTCTATATATATATATATATATAGGGTTCGTCTTTTTATACCGTCAATGTAGATAAATTATCTACATTGAGCCCAAAATGACGTCGTTTTGAGACGAAAATCAAAATATTTTTATAATTATAATTTATTTCAGAGTTATAATAGTATTTTTCATTATAATCTTTTTATTTTTCAACCCAAAATCATGTTATTTTGAAAGTGTACATTCGAAATAAATATAAATAACTTATGTACGTTCAGTGTAATAATAATGCTAGGATATATATATATATATTATTATTATTTTAAGAAGAAACTGAGTGAAGAATCCGAATTTTGAAGCATGTGGGATACGGACAAAAGGTGTTCACAAAATGGCCATCTTTGGAATGGAATCATTAGTTGCCCCAATGTGGCCTTTATTTGTAGCAGTATTGTACACATTAACTTTTCAATGGAAACCAAATGCAAAAGCAGAAAGAGATGATTGTATTAAAAAACAAAAAACAAAATGAGATGAACATAACCAAAAGGCAAAAAGCAGAAAGAGAAAAACGAGCGGGTAGAGGACAATCCCACAGCCATAGACACTGCC